CAGTTACTTGGAAGGTTGAGGTGGAAGGATCACCAGAGCCCAGCAGGCCAAGGCTGCGATGGCTGGGAGCGTGCCACTGCACTTCAGTCTGGGCGACAGAGTGAGACCCCAACTTAAAAAAAAAAAAATTAACACAAAATGTTTTGTTTTGTTTTGACCTCATTTTTTTCTTCTCTAGGGCTTGGATTTTGAGGCCAAGCAGCAGTACACTCTACATGTGATAGTAACGAATAAGGCTTCCTTTGTGGTCTCCACCCTTGCTACTTCTACAGCCACTGTCACTGTGGATGTGCTGGATGTGAATGAAGCCCCCATCTTCGTGCCTCCTGAAAAGAGAGTGGAGGTGTCTGAAGACTTTGGCGTGGGCCTGGAAATCACATCCTACACTGCCCGGGAGCCAGACACGTTTATGGAACAGAGGATAACGTAAGTGTGAGAATTTTTCCAACTGACTGGCAGCAACTGGGTAGTTTTAGGCAGACATAATTTTTAAAATACTGGGAGTGCCAAAAAAATGTAGACACATTTTAAGAGATGTTATCACCCGGGCTTGGTGGCTCACGTCTGTAATCCCAGCACTTTGGGAGGTGGAGGCAAGAGGATTGCCTGAGCCCAGGGGTTCAAGACCAGCCTAGGTAACATGGCGAGACCTTGTCTCTACAATAAGTAATAAAAAATTAGCTGGGTGTGTTCATTTACTTGGAAGGTTGAGGCTGAAGGATAGCCTGAGCCCAGCACGTCAAGACTGGTCAAGGTAACCGTTGAGCATGCCACTGCACTCCAGCCTGGGCAGCAGAGTGAGACTCTGACTCAAAAAAAAAAAAAGATGTTATCTATGTATTGCTTTTCAAAGTTGAACTGAATTATGGTAGCAATGTATAAATGCAGAAGTCAAATGTGGCTTGAATTCATCTTTTGTTATCGGTATGTATTATTACAATTTTAATATAATTTTGGCATATTTTGCATATTTTTGGTACCCTCTGTATATGTGAGGACCCCTCTTCCCCCCTCCAAAAAACCAGAATTATCTTTTGAAGGGTGGGCTCCTTGTAGTATAGGCTTCTCTCCACTAGATAAGTGTTCTAGGAACCCATCCGCATTAGTGTACCAACTAGGTTGTTGTGAGAGGCTTTGCTTGACTTCAGTGAATTTTTTTTTTTAGGTTCTTTCAACTTGTTTGTCCATTTCATGATGGGTGATTTGTGAACACACCTGCCCCCACTACATTGAGTGTTGCACTGCGTGTTCAGCAGTTTTTGACCAAAAACAGCATGGCCTCTATACCCTACCCTTCCTTTTCATCCCATCTCACTCCAAGCAACTTTTTTTTTGTTTCCCTGGATGAAAAAAGTTGTCAAGGGGAAACATTTTGCTAACGTGGAAGAGCTGAAGCAAAAATGGCAGAAGCACTAAAGGCATCGAAATTGACAAGTTTAAAAACTGTTTTGAGCAGTGGAAAAAGCATCTCAATAGGTGTATTACATCAAATGGAGAATACTTTGAAGGTGACTGAAATTTAAACATGTAAGAATAGGCTGGTGCAGTGGTTAATGCCTGTAATCCCAGCCCTTTGGGAAGCAGAGGCAAGAGGACTGCTTGAGCCCAGGAGTTTGAGACCAGGCTGGACAACTTGGGGAGACCTCTTCTCTACAGTAAATTAAAATATTAGCCAGGCACGGTAGTGTGCACCTGTAGTTCCAGCTACTTGGGAGGCTGAGACAGTAGGATCGCTTGAACCCAGTGGGCTGAGGGTTCGGTAGCTATGAGTGTGCCAGTGGACTCCAGCCTAGGTGACAGAGTGAGACTGCTACTTTAAAAAAAAAAAAAGTAAGAATACATACACACTTTTTTAATAAATAAATTCCAAGCCAGGCCGGTGACTCAGCCTGTAATCCCATGCCTTTGGGAGGCTGAGATGAATGGATTGCTTGAGCCCGCGGGTTCGAGACCCGCCTGGGCAACTTGGCGAGACCTCATCTCTACAATAAATCAAAATTTAACTGGGTGTGGTAGCGCACACCTGTAGTTCCAGCTACTTGGAAGGCTGAGGCGGAAGGATCACTGGAGCCCAGCAGGTGGAGGCTGCGGTAGCCGGGAGCAGCCACTGCACTTCAGTATGGGCGACAGAGTGAGACTCCAACTCAAAAAATAAAAATAATTTTTTAAAAAAATAATAAATTACAGACTTTTTGGGTCCCTCCTGGTATATAATTTTATATATAAATAATATATAGTTTGTGGCATCTTATCATTATTTGTCTATGCAAGACCCTTCTCTTAATTAATTAATTTTTTTGTGTGTGGAAATTTTTGGTTTTGATTTGATTTGGTTTATTTATTTTAATTTTATTATAAAGATGGGTACATTTCAGGGTTAGGTATACAAGCATTGATCATTCAGGTAGCCTTGTTAATGAGGTATGATTTATTTATTTATTTATTTTTTAATTTTTTTTTGAGTTGAAGTCTCACTCAGTCACCCAGACTGGAGTGCAGTGGCCTCTCCCGGCAGCCGATTAATTTATTTTTAATTCCCTCTCTTTTTTTTGAGTTGGAGTCTCACTCAGTCGCCCAGACTGGAGTGCAGTGGCCGCTCCCAGCCACTGCAGCCTCGCCTGCTGGGCTCCAGCTATTCTTCCACCTCAGCCTTC